TGTTTTTTGTGCCGCATTTGTTATGTATTTATCACCAGTTTGTCACTCTATTGCACCTAATTAAAAAGAAAAAAAGAATATATATTTTGATAACACTAGATTAAATTAAAATAATTTATGGAAGAACAAAGCACCTTGTCACCTTATGAGACAATGTTACAGGTTGTCATAGCTAAAGAGTTCAGGTGAAACAACCAACATTGTTCTAACTTTGGCAAAAATGTGATGACATGTATCATGGCATAACTCATAGACCTTTAAATCAGTACTTTACTTAGCTGATTGAAGAACAAACATGATTTATATTGTCATTTATGGACTAGTTGTCATACTTTAAAGTACAACCTAAAATCATTTTACTGTCTACTCTCCTTTGACATTAAATCTTCCGATCTTTCTCCCTCTATGACCTACTTTTATCAAGTTTTTTTCACACTGCATCATTCTTCTTTATACACTTTCACCTACATTTCCTGTCACCCTTCATACTTTTTCCTGTCTATACTCTTTCTCTGTCACCTTAGCTTCTCTTCTCTGCCCATGGCATGAACCACCATGTCATGGTGTCTTTCAGCCACAGCCACCTATTATTCATGCCCTAAAATCACTTCAGTAAAATGTTCAGTGTGCTCATAGAGAGAAGATTTTCCCCAACACTACAGTGGTTACTCTATGCTGAGCAGCAGATAAAGACTTGAGACAGCCAGGCGTTTTAAATACCCCAGTGATTTAGCTCAGCTTAGCATTTTGGAGCCATAATACAGAATGTCACATTAGCTTTATTACCCTTAATATGCAGCTTAGAATAATAGACTAAGCCAAAATCATTGTAATGGTTCCATTACAGTGGAAGAACTAGCATAGCGCAGGCTGCGCGCTAACATGCAGGTAAAATCCCATTAGCATGCTGTACAGGTAGCCCAGAGTGCCTCAGTGTCTGTGTCTGATTTGACAGACTCTTCTTCTAATTCCAACTCGTAAATGAAAAATACTCTGCTCTCCATTTATGTTATAATAGAAGCAGGGAGGGTAAGTAAAAGGTGTGTGTGTGTGTTGGAAAAGACAGTCAGAAGAAAATTAGATTGCAGGTTTTTGCTGCTAGCGGTCTGCCAGTGAAAGGGAAATGTGACAGATTCGTGTTTACATTGATAACAAGGAGAGACATTTATTATAGTCTATCAGGCACTCAACCTGTTCAGTCCTGCTCCTGGTCAGTACACATGCAGTCACAGATGCTCACATGCACTGATATAAAAATTAGAACAAATATTCTTAATCCCATTCTGTCAAATGGGATTATTTGGACGATTGTTTGTGTCTGTGTGTCTCAGTACCTTCCAGTTGAAGCGCAGGCTGGTCTTCGTTGAGGACAGCAGAGTGAGGTTAGAGGGATGGGTGTCAGGGGCAGCCTGTAGGGTTTGAATGAGCCTGGAGGGGGCGCTCATTGGACTGGAGCCCACTATGTTCACCTGACGCATTCTAAACCTGGTGTGACAGAGAGCACAGTTAAAGGGACCAGAGTAGAGTTTCTTCATGCTTTATTTCTTTTCAAACTTGATTCCACTTGTGACAAGCATAGTAGTCAGATGATTTAACTTCAAATAATGCATCTATCAGAGTCACAATAGAGTTGTCAGCAGCCTGTCATGCAGCTCAGCAGTGTGAAGCAAACAAAAGGAGTGAGCATGGCCTGCTGCAGGCCTCTTAATTGCTCAGGTGTGGCCTGATTGGGTTATTGAGAGAATAAAATATTCTAAACAACGGCATCTTTGCGCTGTGACTTTCTAACAAAGTATTTCTGAAAAAAAAAATCATTCACCTATCGTTAAATTGTCAGTAAAAGCCAACATTCAGTCAAAAAATATATAACTGTACAGAAGTGGTGACACACACACATGAAGCCATGAGGGAGCGTTTTTTTACTTTTGTTACTTCTAAACGCAGCTATGCCTCAGTGTGGGTGTCTGCGATAAAATGTTTCAGTGTGAAGAGTGCATGTGAGAGACTTCATCTAAGAGTTCTTGTCCCTGTACTGGGACATAGAGAGCAAGGTGTAAAGAAAAACTCAAAGCAGAGGGTAGGAAACATGGACAAGTGTATTACTACATCTTATGTCTCAATGGTGTCGCTTCTGACAATATAATGCTTAAAGTGCGCACACACACACACACACACACACACACACAACACACACACACCACACACACACACACACACACACACACACACACACACACCACACACACACACACACACACACACAAACAACCCCATTACAGGTGAAGGGGGATGTAGAGCGAGAGGCTGAGACAGACAGATACACCGATACATGCCACAAATTGATGGTAAGACTGAATGGAGAGAAAACTGAGGAAGAGTAGCTGCCGTTCAGTGAGACGACAGATCAGGTTTGTAAACCGCAGGCTCCCAACAGCCCATGAGCTGGGATTACAGCCACATCCTTTACTCCTCTATATACCATTCTCCTTCTATGTCATCCCTTTGTTTCTTCTCACTCCTCAATACTCTCTACACTCTCTCGCTTTCTTCATTCTCATCACCTTCCTCTCCCCTGCCGCCACCCCTCTCCTCCCCTCTAGCTAGTGGCGTAGGGGTAATAAGGATCTGCATTCAGCAGCTGTGAAGATGCTGACAAACAGAAAAGACTCAGATGGAACTGTCTCTCTGTGTCTGTGTGATTTATCTAACTTCACCTGAGTCTTGCAATACAGCAGAAACTGAATGAGATGTGTGTGAGATCTGTTGTGTGTGTGTGTGTGTGTGTGTGTGTGTGTGTGTGTGTGTGTGTGTGTGTGTGTGTGTGTGTGTGTGTGTGTGTGTGTGTGAGTGAAGCACTTCACCTGTATTGTGTAAATGGAGTGAGGTTGGGGATCTCCAGCGTGTCAGCATCTGGCTGGTTGTCTTTCTGGTAGACAACTCCCCACACACCTGGCTTTCTCTCTTCCTTCACCACCTATTAAACAAGATGATCTTACGTTAAAACATGTTTTTTTTTTTGCCTGCTGTGTTTCAGAATAAACAATGAGCACTAATTAATTGTTTCACAACCCCTGACACACATACCTGGCCTTCTACAATCCATTGTGATATGGGGGTCTTTCCATCAGAACCAGGGCGGAACCGAATTGTTGCTGTTCGAGGGCTGATGTTGGAGATGACTAAGTTTGACGGTGCACCAGGAAGTTCTGCAGATAGAAAACAGATAGAATACTGCTTTACTCAAAGATATAAAAAAAAAGCAATGCTATCAAGCATCTAGTGTTATAGGTCATTTGTCACCGCCACATTTTATGTAGGCCTTATTCAATAAAATCTTTATTGGACAAAACCTTTTCTGATTGTGTTCACATAATTATTTTCTATGTAAAGAAAGTTGTCTGTGTATATTGTTTTTAATAATTCAATAGAGAGTTCAAAATTATTTGTAAGAAGACCTGTCTTGATGGTATTGCAGCGACCATGTGCAACAAGCTGTAACCTGCAAAAAAGTAGTTTTTTTCTGCTTTGTTTGGCAGGAAAGCATTGAAGCATCATAGGGGTATCACAGAGGCATTTATATGAAAAAGAACATCAAAAGAAGTCATCAGAAATGTTTTTTAATACAAACTTTCTATAAAGGGATAGTTGATATGTTAACCTGTTAAATAACGGTAAAATGTGTTTGTAACTTAAATACATCTATAATACGTTTGCCATTATATGGAGAAGAGAATGAGAAAAAGAAAGTAAGAAAAAAAAGGGCAATAATGACTTAAGCAACAAAAAAGGCATAAAGTAGGAATTAGCCAAGAAACTGTCTCATTGGGGTCTTAATGTGTTCATGGGTCCAAGCCTGCCTATACAACATAAATGTAAAATATTGTTTGAGAAAAATGTTTTTTTACTAAAGTAAAGGCACTTATGTCTCAGCTTTATTTCTTTCTCTGTCAAAGGAATTTAATTCATATGTCCATGGCCAATAATACAGTAGAGAGAGATAAATCTATACACCAGCGGGGGCGAGAGGTGAATTAAATGCACTGTTCACTAAAGTCCATTTAAGGCCAATAAATGTCTGAGTAGGCAGCAAGCCTCATAAAATATGCTTGACTCATTCTTATTCTAACATTGTTCCATTTCGGCAGCATTAACAAGTAATAGGAAACGTGCAACGTGGCTGACCAGCTGTGGCAGACTTAACTGCATTTCTAGCATAGACAAAACAGAAACTGAAAACAGTTGAAGGCTTATCTTAGAAATCATCTGGTTGGTTCATTTCAGGCTGCACAAGATAGTTGACTGATCATTTATTCTATGTCTATCCATTACACCTTAAGTATAGTATTAACATTTCCTCAAGGGGCAAACTCCAGAAATTAAAAATTAAATCCAAAATGGAAGGGCCAAAAGCTGGACTCCTTCAGTAGGATAGTCAGCTGGCTCCAAAAAGAATCACAAATTTAAACCATATACATGTGCAAGTTATTTATGTTTATGCACCTCTGACAGCTCGGGCCCTTTTTGTAGTGTTGGCACCTTTTGCAGAGTTTTCATCTTTTTTGTTGATTTTTTTTTTTCCATACAAATATTCTCTTAGGTCAATAACACAAAGGAGTCTCTTCTCCAGCTCTTTCAAGGCAAAAATTCTAGTATCTCTTATTATTTTTGTTAGCTCCAATAAGCATCTTTGTCTGCACACACAATACCTGGATTGAAAAGCTGTGTTTATATATCTTTTTCAATTCAACGTTAATTTGTTTGAAGCAGCTGAAAAGAAAGTGGAAACAGTCAGAATGACCTTCTTAAATCTATGAAAGCAACATCTGTGCATTTTAAGTTTGTCTTTGAGGTGTGCTGTTAAAACTCATTGACTGAAACTTTCAATAGCTGCTTCTGTCGCAATCAAGCTGAACTGATTTTTGTCAACAAAAAGCAAGTAGATAAATATTATTAAGTGAGTTTTTTTGTCCAGCAGGAGTAAATCAAAGAGTAATAACCACATGTAATGAATGCACACTTCTATCAAAACTTAATATTCATATGAAGGTTTCACAGTTTCACCTTTGAAATGTCAAACATCCACATTGTGCTCGCACCCTTAATAGACTTCCTCCATTAACGTACATTGACATCAAGCAGGCAGTAAATCTTATAACAGCTCTGATGAACTTCCTGATTTAGTTTCTTTGTGTTGTTGCTTAGTGTGACTCCTAAAGACATATACTGCAATTTGTAAATTACATTGACATAATCATAAATCACAACAATCCACTTTGCTTTTAATTGGTCCACTCAGTCACAACAGAACACAACACTTCAGTCCCAATTTCAAAACATTTCCCTTCAATGTGTTGGTATGCTCGCATGATGTCGGATATGCATCCCATTCCTACAGCACTGAAAGCAATATATTTGTTGGACATGGCAGAATACAGATCTGCAAAGCCGGTGTATATGATCAAACTGCTTGTGCTGAAATGCAGCAGTACACAGGAACATATCAGATGGTATATATGGTAGAATATCAGAGGGGTTTTTATTGTGAAATGAAGTGTGACATGACAGGGGAACTGTTATTATGGTACCAGGGTAATATTTTATCCAGAGGCAGGGCTGGCTCTAGGCATAAGCCATATAGGCAGTCGCCTAGAGCGTTACCTTAAAGGGGGCACCGGCGTGAGTTTTTAAACCAACTACAGGAATGTCAATGCTCCTCTTCCTCTGCGCCGCTTGATTCAGCTACTCTCTCTCTCTCTCTCTCTCTCTCTCTACATGATCACGGAGCAATAGTTTCATGCAATCCATTTATACATATAAACAGACAGACAGATGCAGATGATGAAGAGACAGAGAGACAGAAAAGAAAGAAAGAGTGATGAGTAGATTATGAGAGGTAAACAGTCCAGACACTACTGATTAAATTGTATCTGAAAATGTGTGATTATAAAACATTTTATCAAAGGTAATAAAGCGATGGTTACATACATTACTTTTTCTCCAACTCTCATTATTAAATGTTTCTGTTGTGCATCAAATGTGCAATGGGCAGAAACTTTTATTTGAATATAAATAAGTGTCCCACAGTGCATGAAATGGCATCCAAATAGAGGCTGATTATCAAAAATGTCTCCTCCATAAAGGCCTACCATGTCTGCACATTGTAGGGCATTGTAAGAGAGATTAATATTGAAAAATCAGATCAATACATTTGGTCAGTTCTGGATTACTGAGTGCTAAATTGTATGCAATAAATGAAAAATGTTCTTTTTGGCAGAAAAACTGATTACTGATGTGACTTACACTTAAACTAGAGCTATGTTAAACTATTTAGATGAGAAAGCAGTGAATGATGTCTGACAGGTAAAGACGTAATATTTAACGGTTTGCTGAGCGAGACTGGGATTGAAAAATCATCCAGGTTGATCTCTTACTTCGACCATAACCTGCTCCAGATGGTTAGTAATGGTCTTATATCATATCAAATCTCTGGAGTGTCTGATAAACCATGATCGAGGCGTATTTTATACAGAAATATGGACAAAATAACCAAAGAGTTCAGACAGAAGTATCCTGGGCCTAGCTGACGTAGAGCATAATAGAGCCTTAAGCGAACCACTTTTGTTGTATTGGACACCCAACCCAGTAAACCCTGTAGTTACCTTGCTACGTAGTACAGGCCCCAGAAGGAATGAGGTCCATGTGTTTCACAAACACAAATTACAACTATCAGCCATCATTGCTCTGTAAGCGCATGTAGCAAACTCGCTAGGGTTAGAATGTGGAAATGTTGAGATCTGCTGCCATCCTCAGATGAATGACTAAATTCCTTTAACTCCACGAATACATGAATAAATAAACAAGACAAGACTATGCTTGGTGGATCTCTCTCTCTCTCTGCTCATTCTTTGCTTCGCTTTCTTAATCTTCAGTCCTTCATCTTTCCTTCACTCTTTTGCTTTCATGAATTAATGAGTAACTTTGGAATCTAAGAACTGTCTGTATCCATCTTGCATTCACTTTTTGCCTCTTTTATTCATAAATTAGTTATTAGGAAGCGTTAGGACAAAAATTCTGCTGTAAGAGCTGGGTTTCTTTCATCTGCTCGCCTCCGCTTCCTCTCTATCCATTTCTGGGAGACTTTGGTCTTGTGTTCTATGGAGATTGCATTGTTCTTTGTGTGATGGGATTTCTGTATTTCTGTAGGTGTACATGACATCTCAGTTAGATTAAGAGTTGCCTTCTAGGATATGATTACATTGTACTTATGTGATCCCATATTGGGTCAAGCTTAAGGTCACAGGATCTCCTAGTTTGGAGTGACCAATTTACTGTAGCATACTCCCTTGGCCTGACAGCAGTCACAGCTGCACTAACTAGGGTTGGCGGTTGCTACAACAACCAAGGTCTCTTTGTTGCTTCTCCATCAAAACCGGCCTGTTCAGCGAACTTACTGTCTGTTCTCCTTTATCTGAGAACTCACATACTTGATGTGTCAATCAGAAGCTTTATGGTAAGAAGACGTTATTCTTAGTTTAGCCATATATGGTAGAGTAACGTGCCCCTAACTTTAGCATTATCTTTAGGACAAATACCAAGCCTACGATCGGGCAGATCTGGCCTAGTAAGACACTACAGTATTACACGTGTGCTGTTAATGTAATTTCTCCTCATGAACTTATATAAACAACTTCAAATTAAGCCATCTGAGCCTCCTGAATCTTTGTCGTGTGAAGTCCTCAACACTCTTCTTCCTTTCTCATTATGTTTCTTTACCTGTTGTTCTTTATTTGATTGTCTCTTCCCCTTTTCTACGCTGCCGTCCCTCCACTTTTCCATTTGCAGTTAATTAGCACTAATAAAGATTGCAACTTGGACTTAGTCAAATCATACGAACTCATCCCTGAACACAAACCTGGTCTGCACACTGTATACACGCAAATAAACAGCACACTAAAATGTTTTCTGCTATAAAATGACTAACTCCAGTGTGTGGCTGTGAATGTGAATGTGTGTGTAAGCCGTGTGGATCATGATTCATGGAGGCACAGTAACAGCCACTTATCAGCCTGAGGAAGGACAATGGCATCGTAAGAGCTCATCAGTCATATTACCCCGGCTACGCACACACTCACAGGCAGGAAAATCTTTTTTTAACATTCACTTTCTCCGGCTGCTGTTTGTGTGTATGTTTGTGTGTTTTTACTGTACCTGGTGGGACTCCAGTGGAGATGGTGGAAGATATGTCCAAGCCCCTTCCTGCAGTGGTGAGTGCTGCCACCTGTATTGTGTATGCGGTGGTGGAGGTGAGGCCGGTCAGCTGATACTGCAGGGTGGAGTTGGACAGGGAATGTTCCTCACGACTCGACTCTACGCCAGACACTTCCCACCACAACACATAGCCTGCAGGGAGTGGAGCACACGCTGTGTTAATAAAGGTGCTTATAGACTTGAGCAGACACATATGCACACAAGCACACACAAAGGCACACACACTTTCAGATAATGAGAGAAACACAGCCAAAAATTAGGAAGACAGTGAAGGATGGATAACTGCAATCAAAACCGCTGTCTGTCCCTTTGCATCTTTGCAATCATGCATCAACCTCCACCACCTTCAAATGTATGTGTGTGTGAGGCCACTTGTGTTTCAAGCCCTGGAGAGAGTGAACGGTCCCTCATCTGTCTCTCTTCTCACCAGGTGCTTGATAGAAAGCAGGTTAAGGACAAGGGGAGTAAACGCACAAGGTGACCTTAATTGAATAACCATATTCTCCCTCCTCCGGGTGTGTAAGCCAAATGTAAAGCCACTGAAGCCTTGTGCTGTTATACAGCAGCCTTGCTGTGTAGCTGAGGACAGTTGAATTTGGAGTCAACGCACAGACACATATCTTTTCACACACACATTTCTGTGTGATGGCTTAATTAGCAGAAACCTATTATGTTCCCCAGTGTCATTGTTTAACAGAGCCATGGAGGAGCTGTGGCAAAATGAACTGGGAGCCCTGAAGCTCTGTGATGTGCCACAAACACAACACCCTGGGTGATGGGAGGCATGGAATGAGGGTATATTGGAGATAATGTGAGAGGACAAGCTGCAGAGAAGGGTTGAGCTGATGAATCAGTTGAACACAAAAAGTGGCTGAGGCAGGGAAAATCTGTGGAAGCTAGACAAAAAAATAAAAGGAGGGGACAATTCTGAAACAATGACATTTTGGGACCCTTCCTCTCTGTTGCCTCATTCTGGGGGTTGCATTGGTTTAGTAACTTGCATGTGTGTTTAATTCAAAGAAATGAAAGAAACAGACCATATTTCCACAGCAGCCATGTCGTCATGATGTCACTCTAATGGTGGGAAGCCCAAATGTTATAGTCATGTGTTCCTGTTATGCTCCTTATGTGCTCTGTATGTCTGGGTTTTCATTGGCCCATTTGCAATCAAACTGCCTTATTGGCTACAAAAATGCAGACGAGAGGATTGAATATTAAAGAACCAGTGTTTAGGATTTAGTGGCATCCAGCAGAGAGCTTTCAGATTGCAAACATGTCTCTGCATATTTCCATTCCAAGCCTGCAAGAGAACCTGTAGTGGCCGTGAAACCTGCACTAACCTGCAAAAGGCCTGTGATTGGTTTGTCCACTCTGGGCTACAAACATGGTGGTGCAACATTGTGGACCTTCTTCCTCTTATTTGAATGTTGTGATGCTCTTACCAGTAATGATGCCATTCTTGTCTTCGGGCTCTGTCCAGCTGACTCTGAGTGAGGTGTCCAAGATTTCAGTGAAGCTCAGTTGGCGAACAGGTCCAGGGGCTGAGAAAAAAAAAAAATATTTTTAAAGATATTGTACGTTATAATTTCCCTTCATCAATATTTAAATCGTTTTAGAAATGCAGTTTATACTCATCTCTCTACACAAAGTCTTTTTTTTTTTTTCCTTTTTTGCAGCCCTTAACGTAATGACATTTAACTTCCACTACACTTCCTCATCACATCTGTATTCACCAACACCCACATGCTCGGGTGAAAGGATTCATGTAGTTTCTCATTGCATGTATGGCTCTCAAACCCCTTCCCCTGCAGAGCGATTAAGCTATTCATCTGAGACATTCAACAACACTCACACTCACACACACAAACACACTCACACACACACACACACACACACACACACGCAAAAAGCTATCATCAAGCAAGAATTACGCCCACTGATAGCCCTGCAACACACCCTGCACCCAATCAATATTTCTGTTAATCGGTGTGTGCAAATGTGTGTGAGTGTACACATGACGTCTTATATCCCCCTTTCTACTCAATAATGGTTGGTAATAATTGCTTGTCTGTCTGCCTATAGGCTATTGTGTTCACTTGACGAAGCAACTGTGTGCATGTGTAATGCTACTGGGAGTGGCAGCAAATAAGTTCATCAATGGAACAGTGGCCTATAAATACCAGTATGCCTGAAAACATATAAATCAATCTCCTTTTAAAAGACTTTAAAAAGGCTCAGTGAAGTTCAATAAAAGGCTGGGAGTGGAGAGGAAACTGATAACAAAAAAGAATTAGAAAAGAGAAAAAAGAAAGTGAGAGCTCGGGGAGAAAACAGGCAGTGTATCACACTGACAGAAACAGCTGGACTGAACACAGAGCCAGTCAATACACTTTCATTTTATTCACAGGGGAGGCTGATTGAGTGTTCTGTTCTGGTTTAATTCATCTCAAAATTGTGTGTGTGTGCGCCAGAGCATGCACTTACCGTCCTGGTGTGTCTGCACCAGGGCAGGTGGGCTGCGGGGGCCATCTCCAGGTGTTGTGAAGCAGAGGGTGGAGCCGTAGTACCAAGTGAATTTCTGCAGTCCGCTGACTAATCCGGTGTGGCGTGAACCTGGATATTCTGGTGTGATGGTTACCACAGTCACGTCCTCCGGAAACTGCTCTGGCCACACCATCAGCTGTTTTAAAGGAGAGGGATGGTTACTGGTGTTGGTTACAGTAATTTGTGAATCTATGAAAGATATTTGTTTGTGACATATTTCAACTTTTTTTTGTTAAGTCATTATTCTGACTCAGCAGTATTTGCTTCAGGCTACCAAACGCAAATCATATTATTCAGGCTGCATTTCTAAAATTAAACTAATTTGTACAATTGAGTGAGCTGTGGTCAACTTCTTTTGAATTGTTCTGATACTCCAGGGTCCTTTGGTCATTATTGTTTAAAGTGGAAAATACTATTTTAAAATGAACACAAATAAGAAATCAATGACTATGTATCTTACTAAGAAAAGTTGCTGTGCTAAAAGTGTGCTATTCAAACAAATCAAAACCAATGCTTTTTTCTACATTTCAAAATACCACTCAACATAAATACTTGTCGACATGCCATTATCAGTCACAGCAGCGCCTGGGGAGAAACACCATGTTGGATGATCAGTTGAAGTAAACTTCAATTTAAAGTACATTCGTCCATACTTTCACTGTTCACTCATTGCTTTGCCTGAACTCTCAAGGCATCAACATTTTCTATACTCGTTTATTTTTCTTTCCACACATTCCTTGTACACCATAAATCCCTATTATTACATGATCATCCCCAAAACTAAAGAGAGCGCCTCATCTTAACAATATCCTCAACTGACTGCCACATGTGAAGTGTATCTAATCTAGCGGAAACAACTGTTGCACACCTACGTGGAACTCAAGAAGATTTACTTATTGACTGTGATGCTGTGCAATGTAATTATTGTTAAATCCAAAAGTATATAAAGTATATCAAACTTTACTTGCTTGATATATTTGAACAATTTATTAAGCCAAACAGGAATTATGATTTCCTTAATTGTTGATAATGTCTTCTTCATGAACACTATTGCTTGTATTGTATTTTATAGATGTAAAAATGACTATGATGAGACTGTACATTGACCGTTAGATATGTCAAGATAAGTTACATTTGACACTTTCATTGACCAAGTTGGGAAAGGTGCATTGGACTCCTGCTGAACATGTTTAGTTGCTTCTTCTTTAACGCCTATTAATTAAAAACAGTACAAACAATCAACAATCCAAAAAAGCCACATGTAAACAGAGAAGCACACACTAATGACAACCCCAAACAACATGTATAACACATTTAAGTGACGATGTAACATGATGATGATAGGAGTCACATTCTCAATGAGTGGCTCACTTCAGAGTAAACAGTGTCTTTAATAGACTATAAGAGGTAAATTAGGGAACAAGGGGTGATGTTTTTGACCACATATTCCACTTTGAAGAGATCTGTTACTTAAAGCGCCAAATACACTAAGAAAATAAATGTAAAGGAGGAGTAAAAGCTGTTTCATGGTAAATACTATTTTATATTATATCTACAATCTGCAGCAGGCATCCAATCAAAAACAAAGGGGTCTCCTATTAAGAAAAATTCTTTGATATCCAGAGACAGTTGAGTGGCTGCTTCTCTCTCTCTGCCTAAGGGTGCCGCACTGCACCCAGCCTGTCATGGTAAGTAAGGGTTTCTATTGTAATTTATTATCAGCACAGTACAGTGCAGTAAAAGAGTGCTGATCTGGCACCCCCCAGCAACTGATGCCAGTCAACTTTTAAAGGGTGCAGGGAAGATTGGGTGTGCTGTTTCTATAGTAACAGGAATGTTCTGAACCAAATCGGATTGCAATGTAAAACCCAAACTCTGTTTGAGAACCCAGTACAGTTCTCAAATGATCCCAAGTGGACCTGATATAAAGACTGATACAACACTATGGTAGACGGATCCTGAACAACAGTTTGATCATTCTAATGCCACATGACATACTGTACATAACATCAGGTCTTTGGAAACACTTAAAGATAATTCAATGTTAGGCAAGTAACTGCACAAGCACTGTCTGTAATTACATTTTTTATTAATTAATGTAACCTTTCTTTAAATCTTGAGGAATGATTTAGGCCCCTAAGTTTCAAGTAAGTAAGAAGTAGTAGTAAGAATGTAAGAAAACAAACATGCAGGGAAGATAAACAGATAAACAGACAGACAGACTAATAGATACATACATACAAAATAATTAACGTATTAAAAAGATACATATATAATAAGTAATTTGACCTGAAGTAAATCAAACTGAATAACCATCATACAACATAAACAGAAAATCTGAAACAGCATGAAACTCCTCAGAAGTTGCCCCCTGTGCTCTGCTTAAGATGATCAGTGTTGAGTTATGTTACAAAGGGTTTTGTATACAGTCAGTGAGCTGTTGGGGATGAGATGAAATTGGCCCTGCTTCATGTCCTCTTTTAATTAATATCAATATCTAATGTCCTCTAACCAGCACAACACGCTCAAACACACACCCACATGTGCACAGCATCCAAGTGAGGCCCCACTGATTTGGAGTGGTACCTGCTGCTACACAGAGACGACTTTAGACCAACACATCACACAGATGGAAAGCCATACGGTATTTTTATCAGCCAACAATGATATAAACATTCACCCCTTTCCAGAACACACACAGATCCAGTGATGCAAAGCAAACATGTGATGTGTTTTCTTTGTCATGCTAATAAGCTCCTCTGGGGTTTGTCCGCACAAGGAGAAAAATAAATCACATACCAGAACTAGTACATAAAGATCACTCGCGCTATTCATTATTTGCTCTTGCTCTGCTCCTATTATCCTGCTTTATT